CATGAAGTAAAAGCCACATGTGGTTGCACACCTGTAAGCTCAAGGTCCTGAGTTCAATCCCAGTACCCAAAATGAAAAAAAAATCAGTCAATCCAGGGAAATAAAAAACAGGGAATAATCTTTTGGAAAATAATATTAAGGAACAATGTAAGAAATTAATTATTTCTGTTTACTACTGCACTAGAAATCATATTCCTAAGCTAAAAAGGAAATGTGTTAAAAAGTTCATAGCAAGTTGAACCTTACTTGAAAGTAAATTATTAGTTGGAATAAGGTTTAGGGGCTGTTTTAACTAAAACCAAAAAACTTGCTCCTTTTTTTTTTTGTCTTAATTCAAAGAGTCAAAATTGTTTATATCTCATAGTTTTGAGAGATTTTGTTCTGCTGTATTCCTTTTTGTTTTTGTTTTCCTTTTTATTGAGTTTATTGCTACATTCTAGGTATACAGTACAGTTACATTCATTACTGGGATCTTGTACCTTTACCTGACAGGTCTTGGTTCTCATTTTTTCCCCTTGTCTCTGCCCTCCCTTCACCCCCTGCCCCCCTCCCCATTTACAAACACTTTATTTCCATTTTTTCATTTTCTCATACTTTTTTCTTTTCCCTTATTCCCTTTCTCCTTTTTGTTTTTTTGAGACAATGTTTTGTTATGTAATCCAGGCTGCCCTCTGAACTCGCTGCTATCCCCAAGCTGGCCTAAAATTCATAGCGATCTTCCTGCTTCAGCTTTTTCAGTTATAGGATTACAGATGTGTTCTATCATGCCTGGCTGTGCTATATTCCTATGTGCAAGATTAGTATGCAGCAACACAGAAGTATTTTAGATGGAGTAAAATATGTAGTTTGCTCCTCCAGTAAGATTTTTTTTTTTTTTTTTTGGTGGTGGTGGTACTGGAGAGCAAACCAAAGGGCACTTTACCACTGTGCTATATATACCTTTGTCCTTTTATTTTGATTTAGGGTCTTTCTGAATTGCCCAGTCTTTCTCTCTCTTTTTTTTTGTAACGGGAATCAAACTTGGGTCCTTGTGCTTGCAAGGCAGGTGGCAGAACCACTGAGCTAAATCCCCGGCCCTGCCCAATCTTTCTCAACTCCTATATTCCTACTTCAACTTGCTGCAGCATTGACCACAGTTATTTTATTTATTTATTTATTGGTGGCAAATTTTCACATTTATTAAAGGTTAGGAAGAGGGCTAGGGATTTAGCTCAGTGGTTCCAGTGCCTGGCTAGCAAGCGCAGGGACCCAAGTTCGAGCTCCAGTACCCCCGCCCAGAAAAGGTAGGAGGAAACCTCAGAAGGATAGGACAAAACAGGCTCTGTAGATTGACTTTGGGCCAAGTAGAAAGAGGAAAATAAAAATAAACCATACACTGTAGGCCACCACAAAGAAGCATGATAACCTATTAATATTACTATTATTATTATTTAGGATTTTGAGAAAAGATAGAATATAAAGTCTTTTTAAATTAAGGATTTTCACTAGGTTTGGTGGTGGTGCACAGCTGTTATCCTAGCACTTGAGAGTCTGAGACTGGAGGATCAGCATGAGTTGAAGGCCATCCTGCACTACAAAGCAAAACCTTGTCTTAAAAATCAAAACAAAATAAAAATTAAGGATTTTCTTCTTTTCTTTTCTCTCTCTCTCTTTCTTTCCTTTTCTTTTCTCTCCCTCACTCTCTCTCTCTCTCTCCTTCTTCTCCTTCTTCTTTCTTCCTCCTCCTCCTCCTCTTCCTCCCCCCCCCCTTGTGCTTGCAAGGCAGACCACAGAACCGCTGAGCTAAACCCCTGGCCCTTTGTTTTTTTTTTTTTTTTTTTTTTGAGACAGGGTCTCACTATGTAGTTCAGAATGACCTGGAACTCACTGTGTAGCCTAGGCTGGTCTCAGTGATCCTTCTGCCTCAGCTTCCAGGGATTACAGGCGCGTGTCACCACGCCCAGCGGATTTTCTACTTTAACTGAGGGTTTCCTTCTCCCCTCTTTCACTACATTTAATTGTATATAATGTACTTTATTTCTCTTGCCCTTTCCAAAACAAAGTTTTTTCATAAACTGCTAATTCCTAGTTTTGGGGTTTTATCCTGGTCATACTCTTAATCCTAGTAATACGGATAGATAAGACTTAACCTGAATGTATTTTTTTCTTTGTTTTGATTTTTAGTTCTTTTTTCCCTTTACAAAAAAAATTTTTTTTGGTACTGGAGATCAAACTCGGGTCCTTGCACTTGCCAGGCAGGCGGTGGAATCACTGAGCCAAATCCCCGCCCTTTTACAAATTTTTTAAATCAATTTTCTTAAAATAGAAAGTCAAACTGAGTGTGGTGGCACACACCTATAATCCCAGCACTCAGGAAGCTGAGGTAGGAGGATTGCTGTGAGTTCAAGACCAGCCTGGGCTACATAGTGAGTTCCAGGGCAATCTCAACTACATAGTGAGACCCTGTCTCAAACAAAAACAAAAGCAAAAAAGTTTAAAAAAAAAAAGGTCAAAAGAGTTAGGTATCAAACCAAGTGATAAAGGGAACTTTGTTTAGCTTTTTTCTTTTTCTGTCCACGTGCTCTGTCTAGATCAGTGTCTTCCTTAAAGTTTTCATTTTGATGTAGAAATGTCAGTATCATTGGTTGTATATTTAGTTGAACTGGGCCTTCACTATTTAGATTACCTTCCAGATGGTGACAATTTTTAGTAACTTATTTTAATCCAAATTTATAGTCAGAAAGGCTAATTTTAAGCTGGGCATGGTGCTGGGAGCACTCAGGAGGCTGAGGCAGGAGGATCACTATGAGTTCGAGACCAGCCTGGGCTACATAGTGAGTTCCAGGTTAGTCTCAACTACATAGTGAGACCCTGTCTCAAAAAACCAAAAAAAAAAGGAAAGAAAAGGGCTAATTTTTTTGTAGGCAGTATATTCACTTTATAAAATTCAGAAGGTATAAAAGGAATATATGGAGTTTTGATTCTTACTATAAATCAAGCTTACTTAAAGCAGCTGTTGGTAACTAGACCCATGCGTATTAGATATTTTATTGACAAAGATGGATGATTACATGTATTTAATAATCAACTTTGAGAATTTGGGGGGTATATCTCAGTTGCTGAGCACTTCCCCAGCATGTTCAAGGCCCTGGCTTCAATCCCCAGTACTATAACAAAATAAACAACTTTGTCATATACATTATTTACAATAACATTAAACAATTTTAAGTAAAATTCCTCAATTCTCGATATACAGTTTGAGTTTTGACAAACATGTTGTACAACTAATATATTTGGACAACTACCAAAATCATGATTTCTGAAGCCAGGCGTGGTGGTGCATGCCTGTAATCCCAGTACTCAGGAGGCTGAGGCAGGAAGATCACTGTGAGTTCGAGACCAGCCTGGGCTACCTAGTGAGAGCCAAGTCAGTTTCAACTACATAGGGAGACCCTGTCTCAAAAAAAAAAAAAGAAAAAAAAATCTTGATTTCTGTTACATCACCTGCGCGTACACACACACACACACACACACACACACACACCCCTACCTACCTGTGTATTTGTATTCAGTCCCTTCCCTTCAGCCACTGGAACCATTAATCTGCTTTGTTTCTCTATAGTTTTACCTTTTCTAGAATGTCAGATAAATGCAATCATTTCATATAAGTCTTTTTTGTGTCTGGTTTCTTTTACTTAGCATTATGCTTTTGAAAGTCAGACATATCTGCTTTGAACCAAAGAAGTGTTAAATGAGTGTGTTAAATGTCTATTAGCCTACATTTGAGTTAGGTTTTAAAAATTAATTATGTCATACTGGCTTATGAAATGAACACATGAATCTTATGTACAGGTTAGATAAATCATGGATCTTGAGGTCAGATCTTGATATCACTTGGCATGGGAAAAGGTAATTCAATTTGAAAGGAGCAAAAGATTAGGGCTAAATCAGAAGTAAAATTTCATTTAATGCACATGGCAGGTCTTCAGAATAGCTTGTTAAATTCAAATTGTATTTCACTTGCAACCTCTTGAGTCAACCAAGAGTTCTTGCAGTACTGGTTTGTATTGCAGACATTTAGGAATGGGAATTGTACAGTAGGCTTTATTTATTCTTTGACACGGGCAGGAAATCTGTAGGAAGAGACAAAATCCAAAATCTGAGATACTTGAGAAAATGTTAAATCTTATCTTTTCTTTTTTGGTACTGGGGATCAAACTGGGACCTTGTGCTTATAAGGCAGGCAGTGGCCCTGGGTTTAGTAACTGCAAAAGAAAAAAAAAAGAAAGTGTTTGCATGGCCCTGGTTTGATCCCCCACATTTAAAAAAAATGTTGTGGTACACATCTGTAATTCCCTCATTCAGGAAGCTGAGGCAGGAGAATCACTATGAGTTCAAGGCCAGCCTGCACTGCACCAAAAAAAAAAAAAAAAAAGCAGAGTACTTGACTGTAGTCCAGAACCAGGGAACCTGAGGTGGAGAGATAGCTGGAGCTCAGGACAATCCTGGGCAACATAATGAGGTTACAGCAGAGGGGAAAAAGAAAAAGGAAAAGATTTTGGGGACTGGGGTATATAGCTCAGTGGTAAAGTACTTGCCCAGCATGTTGCAGACCCTGGGTATGACCCTAGCACCAGTAAAAGGCAGAAATTCTCCCCTGCCTCCCTGATTGAACTTGGTTTTGCTCCAGCATAACAGCCAAGTACTCTACAACTGAACATATTTTTGCACTAAAGAACTCAGAATATTTAAAGATTCATCATTTAGGCTGTGCGTAGTAGTGCACACCTACAATCCTGGCTCTCAGGAGGCTGAGGCAGGACTGAACTTGAGGCCAGCCTGATAGTGAGACTGTCTCAGAAAACAAACAAAATATTTACCATCTACTCCTTTGTCTTTGAAGGAATGATACTAAAAGAAATTTTCCAGTAAGTAGGACAAAGAATATTGGTAAAAGTGTAAATTTAGTAATAATGTAAAGTTACGTTTATGTTGAATAAATTTCTTTGTTTTTTCTTAAGGAATTGAATGACCTGGCCCGGGACCCGCCAGCACAGTGTTCAGCAGGTCCTGTTGGAGATGATAGTAAGTATTTAAATGGATATTTGCAAGCACAGCTTTGGGCCCTTGCAACTTTATTTATTTATTTATTCATTCATTCATTCATTCATTTTGGTATCAGGGATTGAACTCAGGACCTTGGCTCTTGCAAGGCAGGCGGCAGAGCCTAAACTAAATCCCCAGCCCTTAAATGGAATTACAGTGTAAACAGCTTAATACTACCTGTGAGGCCTCAGAACATATGACTATATCTCTCAAGGTTATTTTGTGTAAAGAGGTAATTTGCTACAGGAAGGGGGGCAGTTCACTGTGAGAGAGCCTACTTTTTCTGTGCCTCCAATCATCTGTGTTCACATTTGGAACTTTTTCTGTTCGGTATTATCTTTGTAGTTCTAATTTCTTCCTACCTGTCCTTCATTCCTTCTAGGTATTTTCCAGATATAAAATAATTTGAGATTCCCGGCATGGTGGCACTTGCTTATAATTCCAGCACTCATGGGGCTAAGGCAGAAGGATCGCCATGACTTTTGAGTTCAAGGTCAGCCTGGGCTATATAATAAAGTCAAGGCCAGCCTGAACTATATAGCTTCGTAGTTAGACCCTGTCTTTAAATGAATAAATAAATAAATAAATAAATAAGATAAGATAAAATGCTTGAGGTATTGCAGGGATGATCTGTTGTGTCTAGCTCTTTTTATTATTATTATTATTATTATTATTATTATTATTATTATTATTATTATTATTATTCATTATATTTGTAAAAGCAAGTATAATTTTACTACTACTACTGGGGATTGAATGCCTGGCCTTCCAGCTGAGCTATATCCCCAGCCCCCTCCCATTTTTCCTTTAAAAAAACATTTTTATTAGTATATTTTTGCAGTCCATGGCACATTCATCATGATGCCTTTTTATTTTTGAGACAGGGTCTCAGTAAGTCACTTAATAGCCCACGGTGGGTTTAAGCTTTATTTATCTTTACATTTAGGGTTATTAGAATTTTTAAAAAATGTGTCCCTTATAAGTTACCTGATTTGTAAAACTTCTCTTCTGTATATTTTATCACTTTCTCAATATTATCATTGTAGCATATAAGTTGTAAAGCTATTAATTTATTTTTGGGTTTTTTTGAGACAAGGTCTCACTGTGTAGTTCAGGCTGGATTGCAACTCATATGTAGCCCCAGGCCAGCTTCAAACAGCATTCTGTCTGCTTCTGCCTCCCCACTACTGCCTTTATGCGCATATGCCACCACACCTGGCTGATTTTAAATATTGATGAAGCCTAATTTATTTTTTCTTTTACTATTTGTGCTTGGGGAAAATACTTAAGCTAACAGTTTTTTGATTTGAGAAAGGAATGTAATTGTGCAAACATCAGTAGCAGCAAAGACAAATTACCTTGATAAAGAAAATTTTAAAAATGAAATTTAATTCCAAGACACTATATTTAAAGATCATCAACCTTTCTTGGCCTATTGGTACACACCTGTAATCCCAGCACTCAGGAGGCTGAGCAAGGCAAATTGCCATGAGTTTGAGGCCAGCTTGGACTGCATAGGAGGACACTGTCTCTAAAAAATAAACAAAAACATTTTACAAAGATCATCAGCCATTCTGAATTTTGAGAAATTTGACCTGGGCATGGTGACCACTCCTGTGATCCTGGCACTCTAGAAGGCTGATAAGAGGATCCTAAATTTGAGCCCACCCTGGGCAACTCAGTGAGACTGTCTTAAAATAAAAAGGGTTGGGAATAGCTCACTAAGAAGACCCTGGGTACAATCCCCAGTGCTGGGGGAGAAATTAATTCCTCATCTTTCTGTTCAGCTTTGAATATTTTGAGCTAGATATTAATTGTCAACAGTATCTACCTTTTCAAAAGAAAAGAAGGGAACTGGGCTGGGGATTTTGTTCAGTGATTCCGCCACCTGCCTCACAAGCTCAAGGTCCCTGAGTTCGATCCCTAGTACAAAAACAAAACAAAACAAAACTATCTTTAGAGCTTACAGTGGAGCTTCATTAGAGCTTACAGTAGAACTTCATTAAGCTTGGGTCACATGGATAGTGTTCCCTAATAAATGTTATACTTAAAAATTTTGCGAATGTTTGAGGTCACTTGAAATTTTATTACTCTTATCTGTGTCTTGCTGTGTAGCCTAGGCTGGCCTGCGATTCATGACGATCCTCATGTCTTGACCTGCTTAGTGCTGGGATTACAGATCTGTGCCACCTATTAATTACTGTTAGAAGAATGCTTGGCTGGACGTGGTGGCACACATCTATAATCCTAGTACTTGGCTGAGGCAGGAGGATCACCTTGAGTTCAAGGCCAGCCTGGGCTGTACAGACTCTGTCTCAAAAAAGAAAAAATGCTTGCTCAATCACATAAGGATGCAAAAAGCATAAATAGATAACTAAATTCTTTTTTGTTTTGTTTTGTTTTCTTTGAGACAGGTCTCACTGTGTAGTTGAGACTGACCTGAATGAAACTCACTATGTAGCCCAGGCTGGTCTCGAACTCACAGCAATCCTCCTGCCTCAGCCTCCTGAGTGCTGGGATTACAGGCGTGTGCCACCACATACAGCCTAAATTCATTTTCATCATATCACTTTTTTGTTATAACCTGTCAGAACTTAATCTCATGAAGAGAAAGAAACTTTAGCCAAATGAAATTTTTTAAATCCTTTTGCCTGTCCTAATACCTACTCAATGCCCTTAGAAGCATATTACTGATATTTAGTGTAAGAATAAGGTGGAGACCACTGCTTTATTTTATAATGTACAGATTTTAAAGTGTGTTAAATCTTTTTTCCACACCAGAGAGTAATTATTGAGCTCAGAACCTGACATGTAAATGCACATAACAACAGATTATAGCTTTGTTTGTATAACCAATGTAGTAGTGGGTGGGCTTTTGGTTTTTTGTTTTTTCTTTTTTTACTATTAAATTATTTTTGGGGTTGAGAGCATAGTTTACTGGTAGATTACTTGGCTAGCATGGCTTGGGGGGGCAGTATACATTTTTGTTTTCAGTAGCTCCTAAAAAATTAATCCTTAAATGAAAGGTGGTTTGTTTTTTTTTTTAAAAAAAAAAAGGTTGTGACTTTTTTTTTTTTATAAATGTGCATGTAAGGCCGGGCATTGTGGAGCACACCTGTAGTCTCAGCACTTAGGTGACTGAGGCAGGAGGATTGCTCTGAGTTCAAGGCCAGCCTGGGCCACATAGTGAGTACAAGACCAGCCTGATCTACATAGCAAGGCCTTGTCTCAAAAAAATGAAAAAGGGTCATGTAAATAGAGTGATATGTTAGGCTTATGAAGTGGACAAGAATTTATTCAGTAACTATTTCTGGAGTTCTTTTTACTTGGAACCTTTAGTGATTCTCAAACTATAAAACTATTGTGATTTGATGTAGGTTAGATAATCTTATCTCCTCCTCTCCTCTGTTGTGTTGTGTTTTGTTTTCCTTCCATTCTGGGGATTGAACCTAGTACTTTTACCCTGAGCTACACTCCCAAATGTTTTTTAGGCAGAGTCTTGTAAATTTCCCAGGTACACTGGAATTTGGGGTTCCTCTGCCTCATCTTCCCAGAGTGATGAGATAATAGGTGGTATGTTACTATCACCCTTGGCCCTCCTAATCTATATTTCCACTTAAGAGAGTTAGGAGTCTAGCAGGGTTCCAGAGGGAGACCTGTCAGTAATTCCATTAGGTATTCATATATTAAACAGTTTGACCAAATTTTTAAGATGTATGTATTCATTTGGTACTGATTATTAAATCCAAAGCCTGAAAATGGTAAGTCTGTTCTCTACCACTCATAACCCCAGCTCGCTTAAGTTTGAATTGTAGGTCTTCAGATGCTCTCATTAATTCATGTAATTGTTTTTCTCTGCCTCTTATTGGTTCTGTATATTTTGGGTCGTTTTTACTAGAGCAGAAAATGTAATTGGGTTCCTACATTAGCACTTTCTTCCTTTTCCCTCCTATTTTAAAGTTGATAACCCTCTCTATGTGTATTTGCTTAACAGTAAAGATAAAGTGTTACACTTTGAATGTGAATGGATTTTTACTTAGAGTTTTGATGCCAGTGATTGGGAGGGTATTTTGTTGGTTGGTTGGTTGGTTGGTTGGTACCAAGGATCAAACTCAGGTCCTTGCACTTGTGCTTGTGAGGCAGGCTGTGGAGCCACTGAACTAAATCCGGGCCCTGTTTGGTTTTTTGTTTTTGATACTGGGAATCAAACTCAGGTCCTTGTGCTTGCGAGGCAGGCACTGGAACCACTAAGCTAAATCCCCAGCCCTGGCTGGGCCCTGTTTGTTTTTGAGACAGGATCTTGCTGTGCAATTCAGGCTGGCCTTGAACTCACTTTGCAGCCCATGCTGACCTCAAAGTTACCAGTCCTCCTACCTTGGCTGCCTCCCAAGTGCTGTGATTATGGATGTGCACCACCACACCTTGATGCCAGTGAACTATGTTTAGTTTGTTTGTAATATTAAACAGATGAAGGCACAATATATGCATATTTGGAAATATCACAGTGAATCCCATTAATTTGTCTATCACCCCTCGTACTAGGGATTGAATTCAGGACCTTGCGCTTGCCAGGTAGGCGCAGCACCACTAAGCCACGTCCAGGCCCTATTTGTTTTTTGTTTTTTGTTTTTTGTTTTGTGGTTTTTTGGTTTTTTGAGCCAGGGTCTCACTGTGTAGTTGAGACTGACCTGGAACTCACTGTGCAGCCCAGGCTGGTCTTGAACTCACAGTGATCCTCCTGCCTCAGCCTCATGAGTGCTGGGATTACAAGGGTGCGCCACCACACCTAATTAGATTTTCTTAACAATTACATAAATCTGATACTAGTTATAGAAGAACTGAAAAAGCTGAGCGAAAAAGCTTATCAGTGTTCTAGGTCTTTCTAGTCATTTTTGTTTTTTGAAATAAAACCTGTATTGGTACATTTTAGATATACATAATGATAATACTCATCATAGGGAATTTGCACCCTATGATGTGTATGGTATATCTTGCCTCTTTCTAGTCATTTTTGTCTCCTCAAACTCACATTCCTCATCCTCCCATAGTCATATATAATCCCAGCACTCAGGAGGTTGAGGCAAGAAGATTGCCATAAATTAGAGGCTAGCTTGGTTTACATGGTGAGTTCAAGCCCAGGTTGAACAATTTTCCAAAATTTGAAAATGAAAATATACAAGGATTGATCTTTTTGTTTATTTATTTGCTTTTGTGTTTTGTTTTGTTTTGTTTTTTGAGACAGGGTCTCACTATGTAGTTCAGACTGACCTGAAACTCACTGTGTAGCCCAGGCTGGTCTCAAACTCACAGCAATCCTCCTGCCTCAGCCTCCCAAGTGCTAGAATTATAGGTGTGCACTACCACGGCTGATTTACAAGAATTGATTTTTGTTTTTGTTTTTTGAGACAGGATCTCACTATGTAGTTGAGACTGATCTGGAACTCACTATGTAGTCCAGGCTGGTCTCGAACTCATAGCAATCCTCCTGCCTCAGCCTCCCAAGTGCTGGGATTACAGGTGTGCACCACCATGCCTGGCTTAAGGATTGATCTTGAAAAGGCTAGAAAGATTAACTAAATGGTTAATGGAAAATTTAATTTTTAAAACTATTTCTGGGGCTAGGGATTCAGCTCAGTGGTACTGGGCCTGCCTTGCAAGCACAAGGTCCACAGTTTGATCCCTGGTGGTGGGGGTAGGCACATGGACAGAAGGGGACAAGATGGGACTATTTCTGTATTTTTATGATTTGAATGTTTTCTCATTTATTATTTTACCTGATACTTAGAATACTGAGTAAGAATGCAGTATAATTAATATCCTTCCAATTTCAGCCATTGATTTAGATTATATAAAAGGAGTAAGTAAAAGAACAAGACTGAAAACAGGCCCATTGCCTGGTTGGTCATCCTTTTGTTTGTGTCTTTAGCTTTGTTATAAGGGTTGTTAACTCTAGTTGTTTGTTTGTTTGTTTGTTGGTTGGTACTGGGGGACTGAGGACCTTGTGCTTGTGAAGCAGGTGGCAGCACCACTGAGCTAAATCACTGGCCCTAGTATGTTTTGTTTACTCAGATTATAAATGTATTTGTGACTGAAATAGAAGGAAGCTGTTTCCTTAAGCAAGACATTAAAGGCATTTCAGAGGATTTTTATTATGATTCAAGGACCAGTCTTTAGTGGCTCAGAATGGCTTTTTTTGCCTGGCATGATGGTACAGACCTGCCTGTAATCATAGCACTTGATAGGCTGAAGGCAAGAGGATCCTAAGTTCAAGGCTGACCTGGGCAGTTTATATTAAGGAAGTCTTGAAGGAACATTAGGACTTGGACTGACATCCCACTGGATGTTCACATGGCTTCTTAGTCTTCACATTTCTGCCTGTGTCAAGAATTGGCTGGTTTGGGATGTTTGGAATACAGTTCTAATGATAAATTTCCATAGTTTGCTCAGGTCCTAGGATGAATGCCAGGCAAACATGGTGCTGCTGAGCTATATACTTGGCCCTGTTTGTTCTGGGTTTTTGTGTTTTTTGGTTTTTTTTAATTTAGTTTATTGGTACATTTTAGGTATGCAATACAATGACATTCATCATTGGGAATTTTGATGTGTCTTGGTTCTAATTTTTTTCCCATTCTCCTATCCTCCCTTCAATCCCTCCACCCCTCCCTATTCACAGAGACTTTGTTTCCATTTTTCACTTTTTTCATATTTTTCCTTTCCCTTCTTTTCTTTCCCCTACCCCTCCCTGCTTGGTATTTACCCATGTGTGTCCTATTTATTTCACTCAAGAGCATGGCCTCATTTTGCATCCATTTAGCCATAAATGTCTCTAGTTTCTCATTCTTCATGGTTGAGTAATATTCCCGTTTTATTTTTAAAAAACCACATCTTTTTTTCCAGTCTCCAGTTGATGGGCAATTGGCCTGTTTCCAAGTTTGTTCTGGTTTTTGAGGCAAGGTCTCACTCTGCATTCCAGGCTGGCCTTGAACTCATTATGTAGTCTAGGCTGGCTTCAAACTGGTGATGATCCTCCTGCCTCACATGCTGGGATTACAGATGGGTGCACCCATGCCCAGCTCCAGGTACTTTTAAATTGAGCACCTTATCAGTGTTCTTGGTCTTTCTAGTCATTTTTGTTTTTTTAAGCAAAACCTGTATTGGTACATTTTAGATATACATAATGATAATACTCATCATAGGGAATTTGCACCTGTATATGGTATATCCTGCCTCTTTCTAGTCATTTTTGTCTCTTCAGACTCAGATTCCTCATCCTCCCACAGTCATTATCATACTGTTTATGAATGAACTTGACTACATGAAGGAATGTTAACAGTGGTATAGGAACAGTGTGAATAACTTATACATGGTGATTTTTTTCTTGTTCTTTTTCAGTGTTCCATTGGCAAGCTACAATAATGGGGCCAGTAAGTATTCAGGTTAATTTTAGAATAAAAAGCTTATGTCATTCATTCATTTTAATCCCCCCCTTTTTTTATCATTGACAGAATGACAGTCCCTATCAGGGTGGAGTATTTTTCTTGACAATTCATTTCCCAACAGATTACCCCTTCAAACCACCTAAGGTAATTGGTATATGACAATTTCTTTGAATGTACTGTGTGATACTAATAAACCAATTTTTAAAAGTTTGTATTTGTTTGTTTATTGTAGGTTGCATTCACAACAAGAATTTATCATCCAAATATTAACAGTAATGGCAGCATTTGTCTTGATATTCTACGGTCACAGTGGTCTCCAGCACTAACTATTTCAAAAGGTAATAGATCAGGTATTTGATATGAAACTGGCTTTGCAGTAAAGTTTGTTCTTTTCTGTTTTATTTTCTTTCTTTCTTTCTTTTTCTTTTTTTTTTTTTTTAATTGGGAATTGAGTCTGTGGTCTTCACACTGAGATACATCCCAGCCCCTTTTTGGGTTTTTTGGTGTTTTTTGTTTTGTTTTGAGACAGGGTCTCACTATGTAGTTGAGACTGACCTGGAACTCACTATGTAGCCCAGGCTGGCCTCAAACTCAGCAGCGATCTTCCTGCCTCAGCCTCCCAAGTGCTGGGATCACAGGCATGCACCACCATGTCACCTCCCAGTCCTTTTTATTTTGAGACAGGGTTTTGCTAAGTCACTAACTTGTCTGGTCTGGGCTCAAACTTTTGACCCTCCTTACTCAGCTTTTCAGAGTGCTGGGATCTCAGACATGTATCACCACACTTAAGTTCGTTTCAGTAGGAAAAATTTCTCCTAGTGAGAAATAGACTTTGTTGGGGGGGTATCCTGGATCAAACTCACGGTCTTGTGCAGGTGTCAGCACCACTGAGCTAAATCCCCAGTCCCCCCTACCGTGGTGGTGCATGCCTGTAATCCCAGTACTCCAGAGGCTGAGGCAGTGAGTTGAGAGCAGCCTGGGCTACATAATTCTAGATCAGTCTCAACTCTACCTAGTGAGACCCTGTCTCAAAAAAATCAAAATAAATAAATAAATAAATCCCCAGCCCCTAGACCTTTTTTTAAAAAAGCAGTTTCTCTTAAATCTGAAATAGAGCTCTAACACCTGGAAAGAATTGGATTTTCAAGTATGGGTATTTGTTGGTGTGGTGACTGACTAGTTTACTGTGCTACTCAAGAACAAGCAAGGGAAAAAAAAAGAACAAGCAGGAAGGTAGGCATTTGATATGAATGTCTTTTTAAGAGCAAAAAGTAGAGGGGCCAGGGATTTAGCTCAGTTGTGCCACCACCTGCCCAGTAAGCTTAAGGCCCTGAGTTCAGTTCCCTGTACAGGAGTGAGGGGTATTAAAAAGTAGAAACCAGATATAGTCCATGCCTGTAATCCCAGATGTTTGGGAGACTAAGACAGGAAAATCACAAGTGTGAGGCCAGCCTGGACAACTTAGCAAAATCCTATATCAAAGTAAAAAATGAGGGGGCCAGGGATTTAGCTCAGTGGTGTCACCCTCCTGCCTTACAAGTGTAAAGTCCCAAGTTCGTTCCCTGGTACCAAAAAAGAAACCCCCCCCAAAAAAATAAATAAATAAAAAATGAGGGCCAGGGATTTAGATCAGTGGCACCACGCCTGCTTTGCAAGCATAATAAGGTCCTGAGTTTGGTCCCCAATACCTAAAAAAATAAGAGAATCACTGGGGATATAACGCAGTGTGAGGCCCTGGGCTCAAACCCCATACTACACACACATGCATGTGCACACATACAGAAAAGTAGAAGGCAGTTACTTTTAATGAACATTGTCTTACATGTTGATTCAAAATGGTAGAACCCTTCAACATTTATTCTTTTATTTATTTATTTCGGTACCAGGGATCAAACTCAGGTCCTTGCGCTTGCAAGGCAGGCGGTGGAACCACTGAGCTAAATCTCCAGCCCCAGTGTTTATTCTCAGATGAAATCACAGGTGGATTAAAAAGTAAGCCATAAGGAACATTTTTTTTAAGTGAACATATATTTTTTAATGAACATATTAGAACTCAACTTTTTTTTTTGTTTTTTTCAGTTTAGACCTCAACTTTCTAATCTGAAAAGTGATGAAAGAAAAGAACACACTAGATGTACCTTCATAAAAACATGAAAGCAGTTGTTTAGAAGACTGAAGTATGATAATGGGCTATGTTTAAAATATGAAGGTCATAAGTCATGAAAGAGAATAATACCCAGATTCCAGTAGTTAAATGGACAAAAAGGAACCAAAGAATAAAAGAAAGCTGAAATAAATTCCCATTATTTCACTTTTATTTTTTATCTAACCAGCTGGTTATGTACATTGAAATGAACACTCATACACTATAAACAGAATTATAGATTTGATTTGTTTTTTTTGGTCTCGGGGATCAAACTCGGGACCTTGCGCTTGTGAGGCAGGCAGTGGAACCACTGAGCTAAATCCCCAGCCCAGAATTATACATTTGTAGATCCCAGGATGCTGCTTATATTGAGAGACTTAATCATCCATCCTTTTTCATCCAGTAATTCTAGTTTCATTTGTACTAAGAAAACAATAAAAAAGAAAAGATTTTTATGCAAGTACATTTCTGAGCATCCTTATTATCACTGAAAATTTAAAATTACTTAGAGGTCCAACAGCAGAAGTATATAGAAATCAGTTCTTGCTCACACATTTAAGAGTATTTTTTGGTTTTGTTTTTGTTTTGGTACCAGTCATCGAACTCAGGACCTTGTGTTTTTGAGGCAGGCACGGCACCACTGAGCTAAATCCCCAGCCCCATTTAAGAGTATTGATCCTTACAGCTAGTATGGGGAAATGCTAGGAGAAAAAAGAACCAAAATTGTATATATTGTAAGTTGAATTATTATAGAAAAGTATTTTAAATGGCTAGAAATAGACAAGGTAAGTTTTGTTAGTTGGGTATTGAATTTTGTTGTACTGTTTTGTTTTTTTAAGTCAGGGTGCTCAGGCTGGCTTGAGATTTTTGACAGTCCTAACCTCCCAGGTGCTGGGATATAGGTGTATGCCACTGTGCCTGGCTAGGGTTGTGAACTTTGGTGTATGAAAATTATTTTTCTACTTGTAATTTTATGGCTTCTTTAATGAATACATTCATTGTCTAGAAGCAGCGTAGTCTTAAGGTAAAGAAAAAAGAATGTAGATTCTGAGTTCAATTGCATATGTAAAGATTTCAGCTGTACCTCTTCTTTTACCTACCTGCCCCCAGAGGGATCGAACTCAGGACCTTGCACTGGCAAAGCAGGCACAGTGTCACTGAGCTCAATCCTCAGCCCCTGTATCTCTTATTGAATGAAACATGAGATATATTAGCTTTTGAATTCTTTAGTATTTTTCCTGTAGAATAGGGATGATAATATTTTGTTGTTACTATGAAGATAAAAGAAATAAAAATGTAGTTGACTAAATAAAAAAATAAAATGTAGTTAACTGATTCTTTATAAGTAATTTAATAACTGGTTTAAAGGCACAGTTGTCAAATGTGTTAGATATTTGTCATCTTGTAACTTGAATGTTAAAACTTAAATACTCTTTGGGCCAGGGATTTACCTTGATTATTCTGTGCTTGCCTTGCCAAGTACAAGGTCCCAAGTTTGATCTCCTGGTACCAAAAAAAAAAAAAAAAAAAAAAAAACACAATGGAAGAATATTTGTCTCTTTCTTAAGAAAATTGGACAGTTGAAGCATTTCAATCCCAAAGGTAATGAAAGCAAAAAAGGAAGATTTACATTCCCTTACATATTTTTTGCAGGGTTTAGATTTATTAAGAAAGGTAAAACTTACAGGGTAAAACATGTCTGCTATGCCAACACTTGTGGTATCAGTGGTTCTGCTGTCTTCCTCACAAGCACAAGGACCCAAGTTTGATCCTGGTACTAAAAAAAAAAAAAAAAAAAAAAGAAAAAAAAAAAAAAAAAAAAAAACCTTATATACTCTTACAATTAATTTTTTGGTTTGATTTGGGTTGTTTATTTGTTTGTTTATTTCCTGACAAGGTCTCACTGTGTAGTCCAGGTTGTCTGTGAACTTATTGGTATTCCTTCTGCCTTGGCCTCCCTAGTATTCGGATTACAATTATATCCCACCAAGCCTGGCAGTCTTTGTTTTCTTTAAAAAATTAAATTATGCCAGGTGTGGTGGTACATGCCTATAATCCCAACACTCAAGAGGCTGAGGCAGGAGGATCAACATGAGTTTGAGACCAGCCTGAACTACACAGGGAGACCCTGTCTTTAAAAAAACAAACAAACAAAAAACTCCACATCATTAAATCAAAATTTCTGGCCACTCACACGCCTGTAATCCCAGCATTTGGGAGGATGAGGCAGGAGGATCCCTGTGAGTTTTGAGACCAGACTGGGCTATATAGTGAGTTCCAGGTCAGTCTCAATTACATAGTGAGGCCCTGTCTCAACCCCCCCCATAAAATAATTTTTAAAATAAATAAATAATATAAAATTTCTTGCTGTTGCGGTATGTAATCTCAGCACTGACACAGGATTGCTTTCAGTTCAAGGCCAGTCTGAACTACAGGAGACCCTGTCTCAAAAACTAAAAAAAAATTTCTGAAGGCGTAGGCAAAAATAACAAGAGGATACTTTTTTGTGTTATTTTGTTTTGTTTTTGTTTATTGAGGTGGGATCTTAGCTACGTAGTCTAGGCTAGCCTTCAACTCAGATTCTTTTGTTTGTTTGTTTTTGTTTTGTTTTGTTTTTTTGTTTGGTTTTTGGTTTTTTGAGACAGGGTCTCACTATGTGTAGTTCAGACTGCTCTGGAACTCACTGTGTGCCCAGGCTGATCTCAACTTGCAGCAATCCTCCTGCTTCAACCTCCTGAGTGCTGGAATTACAGGCATGCTCCACCACGCCTGGCTCAACTCAGATTCTTGAGTGCTGGAATTATAGACATATGCCTTCACTCCTAGCCAGAAAAGTACATGTTAAAATTTTTTGAACAAAGAAGTGACCCTTTTTCTTTTCGAAGGTGCCTTTCTTTCTCAGAGGCTGCTTGAGGAAAGGTGTTTGTATACCTGGTCTTGTCATCACCTTGTCTGGTGTGGGTTGTCTTGGTTTCTCTTTGTTACCCAAGTGTCAGAAGAGACATAAATCTAATGGGACCAAGATAGCTGAAATTGTTACCATCTCTTTTTCTTCCCTCTCTCATGCCTACGGTTGCCTTCTCTGTGTGATGTTAATTATCCTTCAACATATACAGTTTGTCTTTTTTTTACAGTCTGTCTTCCAGGGTAATTTTGACCTGAATTCCCCTTTCCCATGGATTGAACCTTGGGGCTCCCACACACTATGCAAGTGCTGCACCACTGAGCTGGATCCCAGACCCCCTTTGAGAAGGGTTCTTGTCAGGTTGTCTAGGCTGCTCTTGAACTTGAGAGCCTAGGTGCCTAGCATTACCTTTTCTTTCCTTCTTTTTGATGATGTGAATTGAACCCAGGGGCTCATGCATCCTAAGCATGCACTTTACCACTGAATTCTTCCCACACCTCCCCCTACATTGAAAATATATGTTTTTTTGTTTTGTTTTGGTACCGGGGACTGAACTTGGGTCCTTGTGCTTGCAAGGCAGGCCACTGAACCGCTGAGCTAAATCCCCGGCCCTGAAAATATATGTTTAGGGACCTAAATATATAAAAAATGTAAAGACAGCAAGTAATTGTACTATAAAATCACTTGATTTGCATTTTTAGTATTGAAAATGACTCTTGGTTATGACACTAAAGAAAATAAGTATAAACAGCTGGGCGGTTGTGGTGCTGCCTGTAGTCCCAGCACTCAAGAGGCTGAGGCAGAAGGATTGCCATGATTTCGAGGCCAGCCTGAACTATACATTGGGACCCTGTCTCAAAAAAAAGTATAAACTGATGAAGAATGTATATGTGTAAAACTTTATTCAGTGAAGAGCCTGTACAATTTGTAGAAATAGAAGTTATTTATGTTTACAGATAAAGAAACCATAATAGATAATATAAGCCAACACCAGTTTTCCATGAATTGGAAAAATTCATGGAATCCGTTCACTAAGAATCTTTTCATCAAGTCTAATATCTAGTCCACTTTCCTTTCCTGGAAAAGCTATTTCTTTAAAAATTATCTTTGAGTTGGGATGTAGCTCTGTAGTAGAGCACTTTTTATGTTGAGACAAGGTCCAGCCTGGGCTTGAACTTGAGTCCTCCTGCCTCATCTGTGCACCACCACTCTTAAATAAATTTATGCTTTTGATTTTATGGGATTTTTGTTTTTTGTTTGAGACGGTCTCACTGTTTAATTCAGGCAGGCCTTGAACTCACTGTATAACCTAGGCTGGTCTCAAACTTGCAACATTCCTCCTGCTTCAGCCTCCTAAGGGCTGGGATTACAAGTGTGCACCACCACCCCCAGCTAAAGTTTCTTTATTATAAAGTAAGTAAAGAGAATTTGTGCATTTTTTTTCTTCTCAGTACTGGGACTCGAACTCAGGACCTTGCCCTTGCAAGGCAGCATAGTGAAGTAAAGGGAATTTGTAGTACGTACTGTCTTGGCAGTATTTCTAACGTTTTTTGTTTTGTTTTTTGAAGCAGGGCCTCCCTTTGTAATTCAGGCTGTCCCTGAACTTGCTATGATCCTCCTGCCTCAGCCTTCCTAGTGCTGGGATTACAGGCACATGCTACCACACCAAGCTTAGTATTTCTAACTGTAGATGACTTGTACTCTTGTTAATTTGATAGGTCAGAGAAGTGTCTTCTTTCTATAGTCAGTAACTTCATGGACATTCAGAAATCTGTAACTGCTTGTTGTCATTTTTAGGAAATACATGAGATCTTTCCTACTTGCTGTTAGAATGTTCTTCTGATATTGAACATCAGGTGATGGCACCTGAAAATGGGAAGAAAAGATGTTTGGGAATGCCATCTGCCAGAATTGTGGGCAACAGGAATGAAGGAAGAGTCAGAACATCTTTCCTGGTGTCCCCGCTACACACACACATATAATTATAAGGCAAGAAAATAGCATTTTTTGTTGCCAAGCTGAATGATAAAAGAACATGTCAACTTTTTATTCATCTCTTAGAAATCCTTGGTCTTTGTAGAATAGATTTGATAAGAAAATGAGTAAATCAGGCTGGGGATGTAGCTTAGTGGCACCGCACCTGCCTTGCAAGTGCAAGGTCCTGAGTTCGGGAGAAAAAAGAAAATGAGTAAATCCTTTTCCTCTTTAATTTGGTGTTTTTGTAGTACAGAAGGCTCAGTCTTTGCCTCTTGGTACAGAACATAAGTGAATTGAATTCTGAGCATCAGAACAGAAGGTTTTCAATTTATTTCATTATGTCAGAATCTCTTGAACTTAATGTAGCAACCTTGATCTCTGCTTTTGAATTCAGTAAATATGAGGTTAATGACAGATTTGAATGGAGGAAACTACGCTGTTGTGTTTTGTCTGCTGCATTCCACATTATCACTGGGAAAATGATTTAGATGAGATCTAAATCACTGAAAAGACTTCAAGAATTTAGTAGTAGTATATTGTATCCTCAGTCACAAAATCTCTGGCCATCCTCATGCAGAGGCAAGCAGTAGCCTTTATAGAAGATTTGGGCTGAATTCTTTTCAACTAAAAATGAAACAAAGTCATTGCTTCTTGAAACTGACATGGCACTGAGAAAACAGTGTTTGTTGGATCTCAAGATTGTCGTTTTTGCCAAAGATTAGTGGTAGTAGTTAGTGATGGTTGTCTTTGGAATTTTGAAAGCCATTTTCCCCTGAATTTGGGCTTCTGAAAATTAAATTTTACAGACTCTGATAAATGTTCTTGGTCTAAGAGTTGAAAGACTTGCTTTGTTTCTTTTCTTGTGGTACAAGGAATCAAACGTAGGGCTTCATGTGTCTTAGGCAGGCACTGTGCCACTGAGCTATACCCCTGGTACAAGATAACGGGTTTCCTAGTTCTATTCTATTTTCTGATTCCTGTTCCAGGGCCAGTGAACAAGTCCACTCACTGTGTCTGGGCCAGTTCTTTAGCAGTTAAGGCATAGGGAGTCAGTTACAGTCTTCTTACATGTGGCATAATCATGAAACTTTGAAAAAAGGAATCAGTTCTTACCTGGGATACTAAGATGTCATTCAGCATTAGTTTTCTGCTATTTGTTTTCTTTTCTTTTCTTCTAGTACCAGGGATCTAACTCAGGATCTTGTGTTTGCCAGGCAGGTGATGCCCACTGAGCTACATCCTTGGCCCTCTTTTTTTTCATTTTAATTTTTTTGTTGGCTAAATCTGAAATGTTTGAGATTTTTGTTTTATTTTGTTTTTTGGGACAGGGTCTTGTTATGTAGCCCAGGCTAACCTTGAACTCCTGGTCCTCTTGCATCAGCCTCTTGTACTGGGATTACAGGTGTGGCCTGTCACACCCAGATTGTTGGAGCTTCTTAAAATCTGATACTCGGCACTACTTTCTTTTGTTTTTTTTTGTTGTTGTTGTTGTTTTGTTTGGGGTTTTTTTGTTTTTTTTGTTTGTTGGGTTTTTTTGGTACTGGGGATTGAACTCTGGCCCTTGTGCTTGGGAGGCAGGCGGCAGAACCACTCAGCTAAATCCCCAGCCCTACTGGGCACTACTGTATAAATAATCCCATCCTCCTATACTAGGGGTCAATTCCAGGTTATTGTTCTGGTCAGGCAAGTGCTATACCACAGAGCTACATCCCCATATCTCTGTAGGTTCTTAGATTTTCTCATGTGTTGTCATCTCATATTTCTGTCAACCTTTGTTTTTTATCCTCTACTAACTTACACATTTTTTTCATCCTAGTACTCTTGTCCATCTGTTCTCTGTTGTGTGATCCCAATCCAGATGACCCTTTAGTGCCTGAGATTGCTCGGATCTACAAAACAGATAGAGAAAAGTAAGTATGGCCTCTAGATGACAAAGTGTTTATGGTGGGATAGAGATGTTTGTTTTAAATCTTAATCTAAGGACTTACTATGGGCCAGATGTTTAAAATTAAATCTTAATATACTCTTCCCCTAGGGTCAGGAAATGGAGTATGACTCCTACTATCCAGAAAACTTTTTGTGTGTGTGACAGGATCTCCCTATGTAGTCCAAGCTGACCTTAAATTCACTGCAATCCTCCTTTCTCAGCCTCCTAAGTGCTAAGATTACAGCCAAGCAAGAAAACTTTCTACTGAACATTTTCCACCAACTTTATGCCTTATGCGTTACTTTTTTGTTTTGTTTTTTATTTGTTTGTTTATTTTTAGGTATCAGGGATTGAACTCAGGACCTTGTACTTGTGAGGCAGGTGGCAGAATCACTAAGCTAAATCCCCAGCCCTATGCTTCACTTCTGACATGTAAAGCATTTTGCATCAAGTGCCCATTTGTCTTAAGTATTTATAAATCAATTTTTAAAAGAGAGGAGTAGCTGGGGATTTAGCTCAGTGGCACCACACCTGCCTGGCAAGCATAGAGTCCTAAGTTCAATCGCTGGTACCAATAAATAAATAAAATTAAAAATAGAGAAGTTCAGGGCATGGTGGTGCAGGCCTGTAATCCTATCACATAGGAGGCTGAGGCAGGAGATCAGCCTGCTGAAATACATAGCAAAGACCTTCTCTTAAAAAAAGAGAAGAGAAGAAAGAGAATTGTGGTTATAAAGGCTTACCAGAAGGTATACCCTAAGTTATTGTGGTAGTAAAGTTAAGCAGACCTTTCTTTTGCTTTTTTTGAGACGAAGTCTCACTATTCTAAGCTGGCTTCAAACCTGCCATGGTCCCCTGCCTCAGGCTCCCCAGTGTTGGGATTACAGACATGAGCCAACGACCTAGCACAGCAGAACTTTTCTGTATTTCTTTTCTTTTTTTTTTTTTTTTTTTTTTTTTTTTTTTTTTTTTTTTTTT